GGAAGAATCATCATCATCCTCAATGAATTGTCGTTTTCTTCGCGCCATGCTGAGCAAGTGTAGGGGCTGAGTGTGGTAGGCTGTGAGCCAGGTGTGTAGCGTCCGCGCGAAAAGGCGCGAGCTGCGAGCCTCGCGATTCGCGAAGTGACAGCGCGTCACGATCCTGGCCACGCAGAAATGATGTGTCAGCAAATACTAGCGCTCATATTTCTAATTCGCAGTCAGCTGAACTCCGATTGATGGACGGGCGGCCAACTCCGAAGCTCTGAACGCTATCGAAGTTTTGGAACGCCTGTACCAGCAAACGAGGTCGCCGCCGTTGCCAACATCAAGACCCCAAGACTTCCAACATGGTCAGTATGTCGCTGCTGATCGCCAGAATTGTCTGTGGAGAATTGCATTGGCGAAGGACTCTTAGGATGATGCTGGAGGGGTGGATGCTGCTCTCAGTCTTCGGATGTACCTGGCACCACTACGACAACACTCAGTTCTCATCGACAAACACTGGCGATTCTGTCATTCCCAGCATGTACTGACCGCATTTCTATAGGCTCGTGGACCCAAAAAGCACTTGAAGCGTCTCGCTGCGCCATCCTCATGGATGCTGGACAAGCTTAGCGGCACCTACGTGCGTTCTACTACAAATCCATTCCACACCTAATCTCAAACTCCATACACTCCATTCGTAGGCCCCCCGTCCTTCCCCCGGTCCCCACAAGCTCCGCGAATCCCTCCCCCTCACCATATTCCTCCGCAACAGGCTGAAATATGCTCTGACCGGCAAGGAAGTGACCTCGATTGTTGCGCAGCGCTTGATCAAAGTCGACGGCAAGGTCAGGACTGATCCCACCTTCCCCACCGGCTTCATGGGTCAGTTTGTACATCGATGCGTCAGGGAATGAAGCTCACGTTGACAAATACCAAGATGTCGTTTCCATCGAAAAGTCAGGGGAGCACTTCCGTCTACTGTATGATGTTAAGGGCCGCTTCACCATCCACCGCATCACCCCTGAGGAAGCTACGTACAAGCTCCTCAAGGTCCGCAAGGTCGCAATTGGCAACAAGGGCGTTCCCCATATTGTCACCCACGACGGCCGTACCATTCGTTACCCCGATCCCTTGATTCAGGTCAACGACACCGTACGCTTTGACCTCGAGCAGGGCAAGATCACGGACTTCGTCAAATTCGATACCGGCAACCTTGTCTTCATCACCGGTGGCCGTAACAGGGGCCGTTGCGGCGTCATCGTTCACCGCGAGAAACATATTGGTGGCTTCGACATCGTGCACGTGAGAGACTCTCTTGAGCGGACATTCGCTACGCGGTACGTTTTCTTGTCTTCTAGGAACTTTCGCATCTCATCTTGGACCAGGATCTCCAACATCTTCGTCATTGGGGAGGGTATCAAGTCGTGGGTTTCTCTGCCCAAGGGCAAGGGTATCAAGCTCACCATTGCTGAAGAGCGCGATGTCCGGAGGAAACAGCGTGCTGCCGAGCAATAAACGGGTCTGTATCGTACTACTGCTATGTCTACGCTTACCACCACCGCACGCATGCCCATGCGCCTCTCTGTATGCCACTAGTACGCGATCAAAATATTGCATGCATGATGCTTGTCGAGTGCGATGCGCCCTGCAGCGGACCAGAGGTAACATCTATACGCTGATGACGGTACGGTTTAGCGCGTGTTCCTCCGGTTAGACGAATATGTAACTGTTCAATACCTCCAAACTTTGTGTCTTTCTCACATCCCACTTGGTAAGGTCTGTTGTTGTCGAAGGTCCGACGTCGAACGTCTATATAAATATGTATGCCTCGACACGCAAAGGAGGACATGGTGACACAGGGGAGAATTCGTGCGAATATTTGTCCTTGTAATTTACGTCAGCTATTCTTTTAGGTTAACCATTTTACTTCACACTCGGGTCTGTTCGCTACCTTCAGCATGCTCTCGCGCTTTGCACCATAACTTGCCATCCGATCTTACAATATTTTGCTATATTCTAGACCTGCGGCTCTCCGTTTCGTACATTGACTGACCCAAATGTCCAAAAAACGCAAGCAAACGCCCCAGTCATCCACACTTCTCGACTTCTTTGGCAAAGGGGTTGTGTCCAATTCACGAGAGCCCAAGAAACCCCGGGTTAATGTGGCCCATGCGCGCCCAAGTGAGGCCAAGAAACCACTTGTATCATCTCAACACATCGTAGTCATAGACTCAGACGAAGAGGATATCGCCCTGCTTACCCCTCCCTGGTCTGCCACAAAGCCCCAAACGACTGCAGGCAGCACTACCGGCCAGCCCAAAGCACAGCGCGGCAGCGGGACGAAGTCGGCTGCCGCCGCTCCTGTTCTAAGGGACATCAGTGCGCTCGCTTGTCGCTCTGAGAGCACCTTCGGGACTGACATCCTCGTGGAAGGCCCGAACGTCAAGAACGAGCCTGATGAAAGTCGCAGGAGCGCCCTGCCACACACGCCGCTACCAATGGAGAGTGGCTTAAACGAACCGGCCGAATCGTTGTTCGGGTTTCCTGACCTACTTATCCCGCGAGACACCGACAGTATTGCGGTGCCCTTTGATAGTCATGGGGTTCCCCTCCGTCAAGACAATTCATCCAGCGAGAAAGCAGATGGCCAGTCCATCTCCGACCTGAGCGCTATTCAAGATCAGAAAGAGACTTCGACGGAGAGTGTGATCCTTGAAGACGCGGACTGGGGCATGGGCGACGACGAGGTCGAATTCGTTGACGAGAAGGTCAAGCCGGAAGGCGCGGACAACGTCGACATCGATCTGACTTTGGACGATACTGAGAGTCAAATGACCGGCAGAGAGGCCATCGAGAGCTGTCCGATATGCAACAGGCAGTTCGTTGGAATGACCACACTAGTGCGTCGTTTCGTCTGGGTGCCACCATACTATATGATCAACCGAGGTCTGTTAGCAAATTCATGAGCACGTAGACTGTTGCATCACTTCCCTCCCTGAACATGTGCCCTCCACCTCAACGCCATCGGGGTCGAAGACTCTGCGCCCCCTATCCGCTCTACCCACTCCTACGCGTCCCGGAGAAGCTGATGTGAAGCAAGCAGGTGAAGGTGGAAACATCTTTTCTATGCTCATGACATCCTGTAAGGAGAATGAGGCGTGGAAGGAAGCTACCATCGTTGAAGATCGCAATTTTCGTCCGACCAAGGCCAATGGTGGCCGACGGAAGGCGCCGTTTTACAAGGTCCTCCAGGGTATGCCCATCGCCGTGGACGCATTCCGCTACGGTGCGATACCCAACGTCACGGCGTACTTCCTAACGTGCGTCGCCTTCGTGACGTCAGTACCGTGGCGGGTCATCTGATGTACTACAGGCACGCCCATTCGGACCACTACACAAATCTATCCGCGAACTGGGGGCATGGGCCTATATACTGCTCGCAAGGTACAGCGAACCTCATTATCCACATGCTAAGGGTCGACCCGAAGTGGGTCCACCCATTACCCATGGACGTCGCCACTGTGATCCCCAACACGGGCGGAGTGCAGGTCACGCTGATCGAGGCGAACCATTGTGCGTCGATTACAGTCTGTAGCTGTCAGCTTGTCTCTTAGGAGATCCATACGTTGTCAGGTCCGGGGTCGTGTTTGTTCCTGTTTGAGGGCAAACAAACCGTCAACGGAGGCGATAGCGCGTTCAAGTCCCCGTTCGTGGGCTCGGCGAAGGTGTCCCGCTATCTCCACTGTGGGGACTTTCGGGCATGTCCACAACATGTGCTGCACCCTGCGATCAAGGGCAAACATCTTGATCACGTCTATCTCGATACCACATACCTCGATCCTAAGGTTCGCCTTTCTTTTCTGCCGTACTTTCGGGCCGTGTGGCTGATCCGCATATCCTAGTATTGTTTCCCCCCACAACCCCTAGTAATATCTGCGTGCGCAGACCTTGCGCGACGCCTTGTTCAGGGGCGAGCCATTGAGGATGTTGATGAGGGGGAGAAGAAACCTCGAACGATGGCTGGCTGGTTCACGCGGCAAGACAAGGGTGATAAAGGTAAGGAGAAGACCATGCAGGCACCTGGAAGGATCCTCATTGTTGTCGGGTACGTGTAGTAATCTGAATTCTCGTAATTTGTGTATAGTCTTTGTGCTCATTACACAAACATTCAGGACGTACTCCATCGGCAAAGAGCGTATTGTTAAGGGTAAGCAGAATCACTAGGGATCGTAGTCCGAGATCGCAACAAATGCTCAGATACGCATCTCAGCCATTGCCAAAGCCTTGGGCACGAAGGTCTACTGTGACGCGCGCAAGGCGGCCATCCTACGCTGCGAGGACGACCCGGAGCTAGACGCTCTGCTCACGACCGACGCCATGTCCGCAGGTGTACATCTTGTGCCTCTAGGTGTCATCGCCTCGGACAGGCTAAAACAGTATGCCGAAAGGTGGAAGGACCAATACACGAAGGTCATCGGTTTCAGGCCGACTGGCTGGACGTGAGTTCCCTCGCAGCCTTCCGGCTGACACCCTCGCTCACCGCGATTGCCTTTCTCCACAGGTACACACAGCCGAGCGGGAGCGACACCCTCCCGGCGATACCCACCGTGATCTCCCGCTCGCAGAGCCGCACGTTCACACACGCGAACCTGCAGCCAATGCGGAACTCGACCGCGGCGCTGCAGGTGTACGGCGTCCCGTACTCGGAGCACAGCTCGTTCTTCGAGCTGACGTGCTTTGCGCTGTCGCTCGACTGGGGCCGCATGATCGCCACGGTGAACGTGGGGAGTGCGGCGTCGCGGGGGAAGATGGCGAAGTGGGTCGAGCGGTGGGATGCGGAGAGGAAGAAGCGGGGCGGGGCGAGGCTTGTCGAGTTTCGGGCTGAGGATTATTGGTGATAAGCCATTTCTGTTGTGAATTTTCTGGGGGGTGTCTGAGAATAATTCCGTCGCTCGAACATGTCGTTGGACGAAGTGAACAAAATATGTGGTGGGTGGTGTGTTGCGTTAAAAGGGCCTGGCCGGGAATTGAACCCGGGGCCTCCTCCAAGTACAACAAAGCCCTAAGAAGGAATCATACTACTAGACCACCAGGCCGACGGGTTGCCTTTCCGCATGCGTTTCTGGGCCGTGTATCACCCACTCATCTTATGCCGCCAAGTTTCATCGACGTATCCTGAATGTCGGAGCAGCACTGCATAGTAAATTTGATTTGATTCACTCAGAGTACGGACGCAGCACATCAACCAGCCCTAAACTACACATGGTCCGTGCACCCTTCCAGAGGGTATATAATCGGTCCCCACAGACCGAGGCAACTCATACTTACCTTGATGGCACGAGCCCCTTCATGTACATGGGTTCGTGGGCCGTGGGGGCCTCTCATAGCACGGCGACCTTGTCCTCAGGGGGGCCTTGCGGTTTGTATGGGCTTCGGCTCATGCACCGTCTCAATATTTCCCTGTCCTGCTTCGGCCCTCGGGCTGGGCAGGCCATTTTTTATGGTCTTGGATGAAGCTAACCCTAACCCCAATACACAATCAGCCACTGCGTCTTCGGTTAGTATATGTACGACTGTCTTAGAGTTCACCACAGGTCAATTGAACAGATCGAGGCACATTATTGACGGTGTATGCACTCTGCGCACGGAAGTATGCTTCGGTAGGGGTCGAAGTCCGAGTACAAACAAATGCAGGGTATGTATGATACAAAACATGCTAGAGCCCTCAAGCTCCAGTCCCGCCCACGACTATGCGGAGTACTCCAGTTTGGCTATAAGTGCAAAACATCAGCGAGATGATCAAGTCTAGTGTACAAGTATACTCACTCTCATGCTTCTTTGCCTCGCCAACTTTCCGTGCGGCCTTCGTGAGATCCTCTTGGATGATATATTCGCTGCAAGGGTGCACGGGATTGATAAGTGGGTCGTGAGGGCAAAGTAATGAGCATGTACCGGTCGTCTCGGATCGCAAACATGCCTGCTTCCGTTATGACATTGCGTAAGTCGGCACCGTTGAACCCGTCAGACAGCTATTTGGCCATGTCAGCGCCGTCTCTGATCAGCGGTGACAGCGCGCACGAACCTTCACGATAGCCTCGTAATCAAAGTCTCCACTCTTGTTCACAGGCTGCACGTGGATCTTGAGAATCTCTAGCCGTGCTTGCTCATTCGGGAGTGGGATCTCGATCTTCCTGTCGAGACGACCAGGACGGAGGAGCGCGGGGTCGAGGGTATCCGGCCGGTTCGTCGCCATGATGATCTTTGTCCGCCCGAGCGAGTCGAAGCCGTCCATCTGGTTCAGTAGCTACACCCCCACTCGTCAGAACGCGCCCGGGGGAAGTTCAAGGGTAGAGGCCGTGGTATGCTCACCTCCATGAGCGTGCGCTGAATCTCGCGGTCAGCGCTTGTGCCTTCGGAGAAGCGGCGCCCGCCGATGGCGTCGATTTCGTCCATGAAGATGACGCACGGCTCGTGTTCGCGCGCGTAGCCGAACATCTCGCGCACGACGCGCGCGGACTCGCCAATGTACTTATCTACGATCGCGGACGAGACGACCTTGAGGAAGTTCGTGTTGAGCGTCGCGGCGACTGCGCGGGCAAGCAGCGTCTTGCCCGTGCCCGGGGGACCGTAGAGGAGTACGCCCTTCGGGGGTTTGATGCCTACACGTTGGAATAATTCAGGATTGAGCAGGGGAAGTTCGATGACCTGGGGACTGGCTAAGTGGTGAGAACAAGAGCGGGGCTGGTGTTTGCATACCTCTCGTAACTCGCGAACTTGCTCCCCCAGACCACCAATACCCGCGAAGCTGGCTCCTCCGGGGTCCTCCAGGCTCATCTTGTAAACCATGGGGTCCACCTCGCGGGGAAGTATGCGCATGATTGTGAGGGTTGTCATGTCGAGACTGACACGGGTACCCATCTTGAGCTTGTCGGCCGGGAGAGTTGGACGGTAGGATACGACATAACGGGGGCCTGAGGATGCCTTCACAATGACTGATGCAAGCGTGTTAAATGTGCACACAGGGCACTTGTAGTCGTGAGGGCTCACAACGCTCGTCATCTAGCTGCTTCATGACTTCGCCAATAATCTGGCCGACAGACTGGACGGCCTTGATGTCCTCTTCCGTCCTCTCAAAGTCCTTCTCGAGATCCTTCAACGAGAATCTCACTACATATCATCAGCTTCTTGAAAACAGTGCAAACGTGGTATCACTCACGATTTTTGAGGTTCTGGCTCGTGTTCTCGTGCTGCCGCATTTTCTGGCGGGGAGTGGGTTATACGGCCTTGCGCGTAGGTTGGAGCATGAACGTACCTCCCTGTAGCCCTTGAGGGCATCCTTTCTCCTCTGATCTATGGAGCCAGATGAGGTCGAAGCTTGTGCTGAGCTCATGATGGTAGGGATAGTGGTAAGTGGATGGAATGGTGGACGGGCGTAAAGCAGCCCAAGACGCGCATTCGACGCGTAAGCTTGGAACGTGAGTGACGCGTCCGGGTTGAGTCAAATATAGTTATATATGTTAAAAAGCTTAAATTAATAATGGCCTGGTGGTCTAGTAGTATGATTCCTTCTTAGGGCTCTGATGCATTTGGAGGAGGTCCCGGGTTCAATTCCCGGCCAGGCCCTTTTGCCACACAGTTTTATGGACTACCCATTTTCCGTCCCCCGACAAATTTATTCACATTCTGTATGTCGCATGAGTTAAATGTGGTTTATATGATACTAGCTAGCTAGGATTAATGTCCCTTCGTCGTTTCATTAGATCTGCACGGTACGTGGTCGCGGTGCCGGAAGACAAGGCTAATTCACGTGTCGAGCGTGGGTGCCTGGCCACGCTAGCGAGGGTCCGGGGAACTTGAAGCGCGACTCGGCGGCACCGTACGATACAAGAAACCGCTGCTCTTTCCCGCTCGCCCATGTTCTCCTTCAAGCTCAGGCTGCCCCGCATCGCCTGGTCATCGTCGCGCTCGATGTCCAGCCCCGCCTTCGCCGTTACCCGACCCTTGCACTGGAAGGAGCTCGCGCCTCCGCCCCTCCCCGGTCCGACCTTCGCGGCCCAGTCGTCGCTCCCGCGTCTACCAGTCCCCGCACTGGCGGACACTCTAGCCAAGCTCAAGCACTCCATCAGGCCCATTGCGTCGTCCGACAGCGAGTATGCAGAGGCCGTCAAGGCCGTCGACAAGTTCGCCCAGAGCGAGTATGCGCGCGAGCTCCAGCAGAGGTTGCAGGCCCGCGCTGCAGAGCCAGGCCGCCCTCACTGGCTTGAGGAGTGGTGGGACGATTGGTCCTACATGGGCTTCCGCGAGTCGGTGAGTGTGTGTGTGTGTGTCAAACGTGTTGACGCTTTAAGGGTCTAACTTGGCGTAGGTTGTAGTAAACGTTTCATATTACTGTACGTCTGCCGCTACGATACTAGGGCGTGAGTGCACGGCTGAAGTTCCTGCACGCAGATGGGTTCAAGGAGCACCCTGCGCACTTACCGCAGACGCCGCTGCATCGTGCCGCGTCGATCGTGCGTGCGGCGATGCTCTTCCGCGAACAGTACAAGCTCGGCCAGGTGTCCCCGGAAGCGACGAGAGAGGGTCCGATATGCATGGATTCATGGAGGTATGTGCATCTTCTGTGGTGGAGCCGAGTAGCCTGAACCTCATTTTCTTCCCATAGGTGGATGTTTGACTGCTCTCGAGTGCCCGGTCCCGAGGTAGACTGGTGCGTAAGCCACGCGAAGAAAGGCGACCGCGGGCAGTCTGGTCACGTCGTTGTGCTGCACCGGGGACGTGTTTGGAAGCTCGATCCATGGCAGAACGGGCAGCTCCTATCGCTTGATGAGCTACAGAAGTGAGCTGCCATTGACTTCAACGCATCAGGATCCGTGATTCACGCTAATTCCGCAGGCAAATCCAGCATATCTATGACAACACAACCAAGGAATACCCTGGAATCGGGGTACTCACAGCTTCACATCGCGACGTGTGGGCAAAAGTACTTTACGCGCGTTCTGCTCCGTGTGACACTCTCTGACCGCACTCCGCCAGAATTACCGCGTGCTCGCTACGGACTCGCATAACGCAGCGATTCTCGACGCCATCCACGCCGCCGCTTTCGTCCTCTGTCTCGACACAGAGTCCGCGCCGACGCTCGTCGAGCACAGCCGCCTCCTCTGGCACGGTGCCGTTGCACCCGCACAGCGGCAGCTCGGACTCCGCAACCGCTGGATGGACAAGCCCTGCCAGTTCGTCATCGCCGCGGACGGCAAGGCAGGTTTCGTCGGCGAGCACTCCGTCATGGACGGCACGCCCACCGTCGCGCTCTGCGACCACGTCCTCGACGCGATCGCCGCTCCCGACTTCGCTTCTTCTTCGTCCCGCGGCGTCGCGGCGGAGGTGACGCTCCCGCAGCCACTCGACTGGCACGTGTCTCCCGAGACAGAACGTGCGATTGCGGCCGCGACGGACGCCGCGCTTGCGCTCGTTGCCTCGCAGACCCTGAACGTTGTGCGCACGCCATACGGCAAGGCTGCGGTCAAGGCGTTCGGCGTCTCTCCAGATTCATGGACGCAGATGATCGTGCAGCTCGCATACGCCCGCCTGCTGCGCGCGCAGGGCACGCCGCGGCGCGGTGCGACGTATGAGGCTGCATCGGTGCGCAAATTCCTGAAGGGCCGCACGGAGGCGATCCGCGTGGTGAGCGCGGAAGCGGACGCGTGGGTGGAGAGCATGGACGATGCGGGTGCCAGCACCGCGCGGAGGCGCGAGCTGTTTGGGGAAGCGGTGAAGGTGCACGGGAGGGACGCGCGTGCCGCGGGGAACGGGCTTGGGATTGACCGTCATATGCTCGGTGCGTATAGGCCTGGTCATGCGCTTGGTTATGTCCTGGGCACTGACTAGTCACCGTGCGTCGCAGGCCTCAAGCTCCTCGTTAAAGAGGGTGAACAGATGCCCGAGGTGTTCACGAACCCCGTGGTGAAGCGCTCAAGTTATTGGGTCCTCAGCACCTCCGCCATCTTTTCGAAGCACTTCGGGCCTTACGGCTGGGGCGAGGTGCGTTCTTTCGTGTTGCGAATCTGGTCATTCTCTATAGACTGACCTGCGCTCGTCC